TGAGGTAATACATGTAAAATACTTAGGCCCATCCTTGATGCATAGTAAAATCTAATCAGGTCTCAGTTACTATTATTACCAACCTTACAGGCTTTTGTACAGATTGAATGAGCTGATACATAAAATAACTTGCCTAGAGAGTGCTTAACAAGTGTTACATGTCATTGGCTGTCACTGACTCCCCATCTCCAGGAAACTCTCATTACTCCTAGGCTAATTTCAAATGCTGCATTTTGCCGGGCCTCCCTAGCTCTCAGGGAGGGGTTGCATGTATGGGACACACTCATAAAAGAAGAAATGTATCTTCTTCAGTCCCGGAACAGGAAAGGATGAGCTGTAGGAAGGGATTATTGCCTGTCTGCTTTTTATAGAATGAAGGGAAGGGGGCTTGAGATAAGCCCTTGGGCGCCGGCACCCAGCACCAGTCACTGGGCTGCTGATCTCTGCCCAGAAAGCCTCCTTGGCTGCAAACAAAATGCTCCTGGACCCTAAAAGAAAATCCTCACCAACCTCAGAGGGAAGTGAACAGGGATGGGGAAGAACCCTACTATGCTCAGAGGTCTGTTTCCTATGCATTTTCAATGTGACAGAGAACATGTTATTTTTTTCTCTATCTTATTTTTTAGTAAATGCAGAAATTCCCCTGTTTGAAGCAAGCTCTCTTTCTTTTTTATTTTATTTTATTTATTTATTTATTTATTTTATTTATTTTATTTTGGTATCATTAATCTACAATTACATGAGGACCATTATTTTTCTAGACTCCCCCATCATGAAGACCCCCCACATACCCCATAACAGTCACTGTCCATCCGCTTAGTAAGATGCTATAGAATCACTACTTGTCTTCTCCATGCTGTACAGCCCTCCCCATGCCCTCCCCTACATTATGTCCGCTAATAGTAATGCCCCCTTTTTATTCCCCTTCTCCCTCCCTTCCCACCCATCCTCCCCAGTCCCTTTCCCTTTGGTAACTGTTAGTCCATTCTTGGGTTCTGTGATTCTGCTGCTGTTTTGTTCCTTCAGTTTTTCCTTTGTTCTTATACTCCACAGATGAGTGAAATCATTTGGTATTTCTCTTTCTCCACTTGGCTTATTTCACTGGGCATAAAACCCTCTAGCTTCCTCCATGTTGCTGCAAATGGTAGGATTTGTTCTCTTATGGCTGAATAATATTCCATTGTGTATATGTACCACATCTTCTTATCATTCATCTACTGATGGACACTTCAGTTGCTTCCATTTCTTGGCTCTTGTAAACAGTGCTGCGATAAACATAGGGGTGCATCTGTCTTTTTCAAACTGGAGTGCTGCATTCTTAGGGTAAATGCCTAGGAGTGGAATCCTGGGTCAAATGGTATTTCTATTTTGAGTTTTTTGAGGAACCTCCATACTGCTATCCACAATGGTTGAACTAATTTACATTCCCACCAGCAGTGTAGGAGGGGTCCCCTTTCTCCACAACCTTGCCAACATTTGTTGTTGTTTGTCTTTTGGATGGTGGCCATCCTTACTGGTGTGAGGTGATATCTCATTGTGGTTTTAATTTGCATTTCTCTGATGATTAGCAATATGGAGC